AAAATTCTTTTTTATCAAAAGAAATGTTTAACAAAGGAAAAGGAAAAAAACACGACTTACGTTGAAAGTCACTTGCTTCCACCCCGAGTGGACAAAGTACTAGTTAAAAGCTTGCCATTGACTTGTCTGCTCATGGCGAGTAAGTTTCCATTGACGTGCCTTCGCAACTAGACTTAGGGACGACTAATGACATATTTTGCGCTTTCCTTTTAACTGGACATAGAAATTGCACTTATGTCTAGTTATTGTCCAGTTACAAAAAAATCGAAATAAAATAAATAACACGTGTCTTTTTCTCCATTTTTTTTTCTTTTGTAAAATTTTATTATTGTATTAGTGTATTTAATTAATTAAAGTACACTCACACTTATGAAAAATCTCTAGTAAACATTAAGTCTCGAACACTTGCGCGTGAAACATTTATGTTCACTTAAAAGTTTCATACAAATTAAGTGAGACCTTATATAAGTGATTTCTGCAAGCGCTTGTGAAGTATATGGTCAAAAAAGTAAGGAAAATTATTTTTGAGTTTCGAGCACTTGATTGATTAGCATGAATGTTCAGTTAAAGTCTAGTAAACGTCTAGTTCTCTATGTCGTATATATTTCGACAAGTTAAAAGATTGTTAAATGATTGTCCAATAATGGACTTTAACTGGCTCTGTCCACCCGGGCACATTTGACTTACGTTAGATTACAGTTCTTTTATATATATCACAAAACGAAAATTAGTGTATCGGGTAAACCCAATGTGGATATATTCACACCGTGCCATCAAAAGTCTTATGGATAGACCAAGATTTGCTTAGCATAAGCTTGAAGGTATAAAGCTTGGTAAGTTTGGAAGTATAGAGTCAGCTGAGCTTCGCTGAGCATATGTTTGAAGGTTTAAAGCTTAACGAACATTCTTTAAAAGTTTTTTAAAAAAATTTTTCATCCAAAGTTGAATTTTATAAAAATCACAGAGAACTTTTGTTTTGAAAAATTCGTAAGAAAGGAAAGTTTTTTGCTTTTTCTGAAGCAAAGGCTGTTCCTACCTTGCCAAAAACCAATACAGCTCTTCTATAGAGCAGCATGGATCAAATGTAAAAAACCAGAAGTCTTTACAATGTCTCATTATTGAGATTTCTTGCTGATTAACTTGCATGCTTGTTTGCTTGCTTACAGAAAGCGTATTTTGTGATTTTCTAAGCAATCCCAAATTGAAATCTTATTTTTTGCTGAAGATGTGAATTTTTAAACACAAACTTTTCTTCTGGAACCTTTTTCGCTTCGTTTTCTTAAAAATGCGAAAACTGATTTTTTAATCTGAACAAAACCAATAGAATTGCAAAACAACGTGAACCAACTTAAATACGGTGTAAATATTCCAAATAATTTCAATACAATAAATAAGTCAGGATTAATGATGGAGATCAAGCACTAGTTAATCCGTGTAACTGGATTAAGACCAGCTACTATCAACAAAAAAATTATATCATTTTTTTCTATCAATCATTAGTGGTTTTAGCTATTTGAATGCATTTTTGACATTTTAGGAGCATTGTGTGTCAATAAAGCAATGGGCCGTTCACTTATTACGTTCGCATTTTAGGGGGGAGGGGGGTTTAAAAAATTGTAACCAAATGAAACATGGGGGGGGGGGGGGTGCCAAGAAGTGTGTAATCGATATTTTTTTGAAAAAAACCTACTATGATCGAAACCAAAATTGATTTAAATTGCATTTTAAAACATATCTAGGTATTATAAATGATAAAGAATGTTTATATCGATATAAAATCGATATTTTTGTGAAAATAGCCTACTATGATCAAAACCAAAATTGATTTAAATTGCATTTTAAATTATATCTAGGTATCATATATTATAAAGAATGCTAATATACCCTCAAATCCGGTTTAAAATTAATCAAGATTAGCATAAATATTTCTTAAACCCACTCAAAACCAAATAAAATGAAATTCTTAAAATGGTCGATTATTTTCCTTATAATTACCTTTAATTTAAGATATCACACGGAAAAAATGGATTTGAAAATTAAAAGATATTTCTGATTTAATTTTTAATTCATTTGATTTATTTATAATCCACCAGATTAAACACTATTTTCACTATATTTCGAGAACTAAGACGATTCACGCAAAGCATAATGAATATAGGGAGGATTAAAATAAATCCATCGGATTAAAAATTGAAATCGTTATTTCTACGTAGGTGTTGATGGAAGTGGGGCATGTTTAGTATCATTGGATAGGTCTTTTAAGGCTTTACATTACGAAAAATGTTTCATCTAATAATTCTCTAAAACAAGTGCACCAGAACAATTTTATTTAAGCCTCCAAAAAAGCTTGTTTTTCGCTCTAATGGATCAGGACTAACACCAAAAATTATGATTTTGGTATTAATCGATTCCTGAGAAGATTTAAAACATTTAAACTGTCAGCTATTTTTTGATTTAAGGCTTTAAAAAAAAGTTGAAGCAAATGTAGTGTTTGCATGGATAATACGGTGGACCTGTAGGTTGGGTGACAAAATTTGAACGACATAAAAATCACCTTCCGTGTTCCACGCGGAAGCATTTTAAAACATATCTAGGTATTATAAATGATAAAGATTGTTCTGACTATAGTCAACAATAAAATTGACGACCACAGTTGTAAGTGCGCTAACTTGGTGCCAACAACAAATCAATTTTTTATAGAAATTAAAACTTCTTGTTTCTGCTTATCATCTGATTACAAAATGCAACCAGACTACAACTTTGTAAAAATTCATCAGACTTCATTCTCAGCGGACCACTTCATTTTCAATTTACTGTTCAGATACACAAGAGCATTTACTTTACTTTCAATTAGTTTTAAGCACATAAACCTTCGAAATATTTATTCTGTAATTTAAAAAAAATGTAAGTTTTGGAAATAAATTATGAATGTGATGTAATTTATTTAAACGGCAGTAGCAGTAAGTGGGAAAATGAGCGTGTCCTGGCATCATCTTAAATTATTGAAGTTTTGGTGTATCCAATGGGGTTTAAGAGGGTCTGAAACATTTGTTTTTTGAAAATTTATAAAAATATATCCTCTAGTTTGGCTACAAATGGACATAAAATTAGAGGCATGAAATTAAAAGGGTTTTCATCAGTTATTGCCGATTTGTGGTTTAAAAACGGGATATTTCCCGATTGCAGCTCTGAAAATGCACGAAATACCAAATTTTCAAGCATTTTCCATGAAAAAAGGTTCAAAAAAGCGGGATATAAGGATTTTAGGCTGGACTATCCAGCTTAAAAGTGCACAGTTGTAGCCTTTATATAAAGCTTGAAAATTCAAAATTCATATTTTTAACTCATTTAAATTACAACAATTCTTTCAATCTCGTAATATTTATTCAAAAATTTATTACTGCTGTTATTATGCAGGCATAAATATTATTTTAATACCTTTGTCTGCTTAATGTTAATATTATTTTTATATTTTTATTGTTATTTGAGATTATGCAGTAAGTTTTCCAGATTCAATTTATGCAACTTCATGTACCTCATTTGCTGTGATTTTTTAATGTAAATAAAGCACAGTGAACCCCAATCTCGGAAGTTTTTGTTCAAAGTTGTCCATTTTTCTGAGTTACTTCCTTTCCATGTTGATAATTATTATAAAATTTTTGTCATCATTTTTTTATTTTCGTTAAGCTTACAAAAATACATTCCAAGTCCATTTTGCTTTCTACGGATATAGTCTTGTCGAAAAATAATGAAATTAATACTGCATGCTGTAAAAAAACAAGCTACATTCGCAGAGGGAATATTAAGTTCATGGGCATGCAAAACATTCAATTTTTTTTTATTTCTCATTTAAGCACTGCATGGAAATTTGATTCTCAAACCTCATAAAAACTTCAATAAAATTCAATTGCATCCACAATTTGATGCTATTAATTTTTAATCATGCCGACTGTAAAACTCCTTGAAAAAGTTTATTTAAATAAAACAGTTTTTTGGAATGAAAAAAGCTTTGAGCAATTTTTATTGATAATTTTCTGTTAAAACTTTTTGTTAGCATTTTTAATTTACAATACTTGGAATCGTGAGATTATGTATGTTTGAGACGTTCTTAATAAATTAATGACGTATGGCTTCATGTTGAATTTTATAACATATCTAAAAAGATTTGTTTTTCTTTTTTGAGATGTGACTCGTGTGAACATTTTTCATGTGTGTTGATTTTTACTAGGCTTGGGGTTGGTTCAAGGGCGTAGCCAAGGAAAAGGGGGGGGGGGGGCTCCTTAGACAATGAAATTTTTAAACAAACTTTTTAAAAACTTTTTTAAACTTTATATCGCATTTAAAGAAAGTGATTTATTAATTTCTGTCAACAAATTTTCGGGCATCCTCTCTTGAAAAATCTTGGCTACGCCCCTGGATTGGTTTCTGTTTATGTACCAAATTAAATCGAAGAAGGTATCCAACTCACCCTCATTTTAGGATTATACTTTGGGGAATCTACAAAGATATTCTAGATGCACCAGGGAGGTTTATTCTATGCTAGGACTGGATGAAGATGCTGGTGCTTGCCAAGAAATTGGCTTCAAAAGTGCTTGCTATCAGATGAAAGCTTTTGAGAATTTTTTTTAGACCTTCTAATTTTCTTACGGAATAGAACCTATATAAACTTTGTTTCCCCCATTCTGTAATAGTAAGACAGACTCAAATAATAGGTGTATTATAAAAAAGGATGTGGAACTTGTCAAAATAATCAAAAATGATCAAAAAGTCATCAAAATTGATCAAAATCCAATTTATCAGTTCCGCATCCTTGATATAAACAAACGACTAAGATGCACACATGTACCTACATTAGTAAGCATCTAGTCTCATCCATGTAAAATATTCACTAGCGAGTCAATTTTTAAATATATTAAAAAAATAATACTGAACGAAAATAATCATTTTGGAATGCTTTAACTTTATCCTTAGTTCCTTACTTCAAAAAAAATAAATCATTGCACAATTCGGAACTCCTATCTCGACTTCTTAGTAAAACAAATACGTCATGACATATTTGAGCAATTCCATTTACTTATAGCTTAAATTATTTAATCAGAGTATAACAAATTGTTCGTTGAACTTCATCAAATGATTATTCAATCAGCATAATAATCAGAAGTTCGTATTTGAATTCGAAAAATGGTTTAATTTATATTGAATGATAATTAGTTATTATACAGCTTTATAGTTATTTATACATATATCCTTGTTGTCTTTCTTTTTATCTCAAAAATGGTGCGCATATTTGGTAAAATTTATTCAATTTATTGAAATTAAAAAATGCAAAAATCACGAAGCACAAATTTTTATGCGTCCTCATAGCGAAGCTTTTCCTGCTGAACATTATAGGATCCACTCGACCGATGCTCCACCCAATTTTTAAGCTTCCCCCTCAACTCCTCGAGGCTCTTTGATTTTGCTTTATTAATTCTCTTATATTTCACATCCTTAGGCTTTGTTACAGATCGATGATTAGACATTACACGATTATAATTTGTTACTTGATGATGTTGGTGCTCATGAAGCTTTACATCGTCTTCTGATGCTCGTCTTATCGACACGGGTGTACTAGATCTAGAATAATCATAATAGCTCGTCAACTTTTCCCAGAAGGTTGTTGTCGATGAGGACGATTGATTTGTCGATATGGAAATTGAATCTGCTGAATTATCCGATGGATCATCAATGGCATCGGATATTCGTTTATCAGAACGATTTCTAAATTTATCACGTTTCTCAGCCAAATCAGTATTTTGTGGCTGCTGTTGCTGCTGTATAGGTTGTGTTGATATTATTTGTGAGTCTTTATCCTTCAGCTCTTGACTATTTGCATCGGGATCTTCCTCTACACTATAAACAGTCTCCAATATGTCTGGACGGCGCAAATAACAATTTGATTTTTGTAATGTACGACGTGGCATTTGTATCACATCTGATATTGATCTTACAACATCATTACTACATGACTTCTTTTTTAATGATATGAGTGAATTGCAGTCATCAATATCTTCGAGTACAACAGCTGAATCGGAGTCATTTAAATCACATTCAGTTTGTGTATCAGCCAAAATGATTTGATGATCGAGCCCATGCAGCTCTAATCGACTAGATAGTGCCTCAATTATCTTCTGTTGACGGTATATTGTTAGCTCTTTATTGTACAAAATGTTGGCAATTTGTTTCTGTTTCCGCACTAAGCGACTCTCCAGCAACAAAAGTTGACCAGTGAGATATGATAATTGATCCGTCTTCTCCAATTGCTCTCGAAAATGCTGTTCGCTCTATTTAGGTATATGTATATTCAGATAGGCGGTAAATATTCACGATGATGTTAAATTTTGTGAATATATGATGACGGTATCGTGTTGTACATGCGAGGAGAGAAATAAAAAGAAGAGAAAAAGAAAATTACATTTCAGTATTACATCAACATATTTCATGCTTTTCTTTTCACTGCTGTGTATATATTTTTTTTTTTCAAAGCAGCTGAATCGATTTTGGTGGAAAAAAGTGGTTGCTGTATATATCAGTTGCGTCACGTTCAATTATGTACGATTTATTTTTCTTTGTACTAGATAATAGTAAACGTATAGAAACAGATGAGATGCGATTACAAGACTAAATGATAATTACCGTCTTATTTTCATGCTGTCTTGAGATTATCGTAAATGATTTAAGTGTAATTTTGTAGGAAAAGTGATTGGGATAAGGAAAGGTTTGGGTTATTGACTTGATGTTATATAAGAATCGCAAGTAAAGCTGCTCTGGAAATTCATTCTGCAATATCCAGTGAAACTAAAGACAACTCTATGTCTGGTTGAATGTTTAGCAAGGGTGTGGTCCTGATGAAGTGATCAAAAATGATCAAAATTGATCAAAAATGATCAAAGTTGATCAAAAAGATCAAAATGTAATTCTTCAGTTCCACACCCTTGATGTTAAGTTCCATTCTACATGTAATCTTGGTCAAATGCGCCACAAATCCAAATATCAAGATCTAAATTACATAATCAGCCACTTGTCTACCTCAAGACTAAGTGATTCTTCTTCTTATTCATGTCATTAATTTGATGAGCGGAAATTCATAGTACAATGAAAAACATCTTTTTCTTTTGTTGAATCCACGACAAGCTTTTCATGATTATTTAAGAAATTTGAATTCTCTTTCTTTAATTAGCTGATTCATTTTCAAGGATTAATATGCAGCACAGAAAATAATGAAGCTTTCAGACTTTTAAATCATTATGAAGCTTACATATTGTAAATAAAGAGTCGGGAGGAAAAGAATGACGAGGGAGAAAATAATAATCCCATGGAATATTGTCAGTCAGTGAATTACTGATGCTTTCTCGTTATGAATTTTTCGTGTCGTACGTTAAAAGTCCCTGTGGGAAATTATTCTTTGAATTCAAGGCGGCAGACTGAATGTTAGGATGGCAATTATTCGGAATTTATGTGCTGTTGCTATTTTAGGAAGGAAATCTGAGCCGAAGGAAATTTGAGGCTTAAAAAAATTGTCAAGAGCTTCGAATATTCATTGAGTGTTGTAAAAGTAATAGAGTATCCTGATGGAATTCATTAAAGAAGGTCGAATTAAGGAAAAAGGAAGCTTGGAGTTGGATTTCAATGGAATTTTTCCATTTTGAAATTCTGCGGCTTATGAAGTTGTCCAATAAGCTGAACAAGCAACTTTGACATGAAAAAGCAATAAATCTTGTAGGAATAAGCCATAAACATGAAGCACCTGCCTATTCCCCCAAATTTCCATCTTTAAACTTATTTAAGACACACTCGCAAATCCAGCAAAAAAAATCTAATTCAAATTTTCCACATTTTCTCCATAAATTCACGTATATGCGGCACACAAAAAAAAAGAAGAACAAGGACATGAATACATACGAGCAAGAGCACAAAAAAAGAGTTGTGAATGATGTAAAAAAATGTAAGTCATAATCACAATACATAATCTAAGTAAGAAAAACATTGTTAAGCCTCGTTACACAAGCACTTCGTGAGTAGACTTAATTTCCATTCCATTTCTATTTGCATTCAAATTAGAAAGCCATTAAAAAGTATTCTTTTTTTTATTGAAGCAATAAACAAGCTTAGTGCATTTTTGTAAAACAATTTGTGGCTGTATGAGAAGTTACCAGATGTTTTAATGGGTATAATGTTGCTGGAGAAGCAACAGATTGCTCTTTAGCCAGTAAAATGTTTTTAAAAACTTTAATTCATCTTCATAATTCGTTGCTTGTTTTTAAAATGGCATTAAAAAGTTTGGATTATTCTTGTCAATTCCTGCTATGACGTTGATGATAATTCTAACTGTTCAATGAAGGTTTGGCGTGTGTGTTTTGGTTCTTTTGGTTGCTAACATTGTCTTGCAAGTGAAATTAATATTGCGACTTCAAAATATACTTGATGTTCTACGTCGGTCCTACGTCTGAACAGAAGCGATGGATCTATGCCTCTAGAATCTTCTTTGTGTGCATATTACACAGTCTTCTACCTTTACAAATCAAACCTTACCCATAAAAAAATGCGTCAAAGTCGTCAAAGAATAGAATTTATCTATCAACTTAGGACTTGTTCTTCGTTCCATTAAGTCCTAAACAAACTTTCCCAAAATCATCTTTAAGCCTTGATTTTGCCATTCCAAAATATTATTATTTCAGTCTACTTCTTCACACAAAATTCCATTAGCAATTTTTGTCTTCTTTACAATGGGAAAAAAATGTCACAAAAAGGCAACAACACAATTTCCAGCATTTATTTCAATTATTGTACATCGTTATATAAATTTTACATTATACTGTCAAAAAGAAATATTAGAATTGAAAAAAAAGCGACAAAGACGAAACTTTTTTTCACTCATTAAGCATAATTAAATGACATTTATATAATGTACGTATCATGAGACATGTAAATCATCAGACTCGTCACTTTTAGGAAATCTTCAAGACGCTGAACTGTTTTTTGACAATGCGAGGAAATTGGGTTGAATGTTAAGACATAGTTGCTTATGTGGCATGTAATAGGTTGCATGAGATTCTGTAAGAGTTCATTGAGCTTAAAAGACAAGCTGACAGATTGAGACTCACAGTGCTGGATGCATTTCAAGGTACTAAAAACCTTAATCCAGGTCCTAACTCTAGTCGGAACAATTCTTCCTTGCTTACTGTAACCATGTTCCTATGTGGAGCTTAGGTTACAACGAAAGATTTATCATCTGACTCTGTTGCTGGCCTTGTCACCTAATTTGTACATATTCTCTGTCCGCATATTAAACTGACATTCTTTCATCACTGTTCTTCGCCAAGTAGATTTTGGAGCTCTTGGAGCTCCCCGGAACAATTCTAACCTCAATTTATACTCAATTTAAAGAAACTCTCACTCTTCCTCCCATCCCATCACTATGTGAATAAAAAGTCAAAAGAAAAAGTTTTGGAAACAAAATAAAAAGATTCTCGTGACATGCCGAGCTCTCTCTCCAGCGCAACCTTAAATAAAATAATTAAATTTCATATTTCTTTCATCCAACGTCTTATAATGTAGTAAATTATTTTTAAAAAATTGTTAAGACGAGACAAAAACGACATCTAATTGTATTACATTTGTTCCCATCTTTGGTGCGCAGAAAAATTAGAGACAAAGAGGTTGTTAATAAGGCGACAAGAAAAAGCTGTATTGGTATTTTTTTTTATTTTGAAAGCAAAGATGCAACGCTAATGTCTCTTACCTATGTAGAGATCAATTGTGATCCCTGGCCTCGCTTAGATGGCGCCTGAAGCTGGATCTATCGCTGGCTACCGTTTGCCAATTACTTATACCAAATACAATACTGTCTCTATCTACAGCTTCTTTCCAGCGCTAATGTCGCATTCATTTTATTAAATTTTTTAATTTTTTGATACTATTCTTTTCTGGATGTTTGCTTTTGGGGTTCAACTAGAATGTTTGGATTGGAAATCAAGGGTTGGGATAATAGAGTTGTTGACTTGAAAGCCATCTACAAAAGAATCTCCAAATTTAACAATCTATTGATCTATGCATAACATCACATATTCAAAAACAGATTCTTATTAACTTCATTTACTTTTTTTCTTCTCATCTTTTTTGATTGTTCGAAGCTTACAATCAGCAATTCGTTCACGATTATTCTTCATTGTGTTCCGAACACTTGATTGACGCTTAATTACGTGATACAGTAACATCCCATACATATTCTCATCCATACAATTTATACTTTTTACATGAAGATAATAATGATAAGCATATATTTTTGTAATGGAATTGAAATCGCGAGCTTTCCTGCCGCATAAAGCATAAGACAATACAATTTGCGCATACATGATGATGATATGCGATTTTTATGCTTTTCACTCAAAAAACCATCCTTTACTTTATGCTTCATACAATACGCAACGGAAATCAAAACGTTGAAGAGTTTTGAAGAGCTAAAATCAAGCGGAATTGAATTTTCATGCTGTATGCCATTTCGATTTCACGAGTAAGGAGAAAAAGGAATGGATTATGTTAAAGAATTTTATTATCCTTGTTATCGAGAATTCACATTCCTCATATTTGACTTTTGTATGCGCACATTTTTATCTTCTTTACATTATTATCTCGGAACTCTTTTTCTCATATCAAAGATTGAAATATTCAATACACGATTTGGGCATTGGGATTAAGGATGTAATAAATTTATGGATGGTATGAATGATAGGATTTATGAAATTATATTTCAGACTCTATTCTTATTTGTTTATATTCTGCGCTGATATTATTCATCGAGTTGTGCGATTAAGAGACTGGAAATTTAAATAAATGCCCAGCTTAATGGTAATTTTTTGTGTAATCACAAAATTCTTTGGGAAAGAGAAATATTTGCTTAAGAAGTTACTCATTTTTTTGCATTTTTATGGAATTTTTTAGCGACTGGTTGTTGGAATTTGTGTCTAGTATTTTTTGATTGACATAAGAACACTTCCTATCTTTCCAGTTTCTCCTTCTTAATCTAGCATCGATTAAGGACCATTCAGGATACATGACCCAGCAAGACAAAATTAAAGAATTCCATTTTGACATTTAAAAACTTTAATTTAGCTTCAAGCATCAACCATAACTTAATTCAACCCAAATTTTAATCAGTCAACTACAAAAAAACTTTGCTCAGATGTGTCTGTACATTACAAAGCATCCACATAACACAAGTAACATTTAAGGAAGCACAAAAAAAAGAGTATTTTTTCGACTACACACAAAAATATTCTCCCTT